ATTTTATGTTTTTCTGTCACTTAATTACTCATTATCTCTAAAACGTAGATATTTTATCACCTAGCCTCCGGTATCGTAATTCATCTCGATTCTCCCGTTGCAAGAAGAACGTCGATGACAAGATGCGTGTGCGTCGTGTTTCAAATACGCGTGTATATGTATGCGTGTGTAAAAGGACACAAGTACGTATACAAGAATGCGCAATTGATTTTCACATCGAAGTAAATCATATGAAATACCTGACTGACCAGCTAGAGTGAACCTACATATTTACACATCTCGTCGTTGAAAATTTATTTGTCTACCTTTAATAGGAATAATTAACGTATTCTTTTTCTCTTCCTAGTTTTCACTAGAAATTGAAATCGGTATAATTTAAGTAAATAAAATTTCCATTACAAGCACAAAATTATTCTCATTCAATAATAGACGAATGTGTTAAAATTATAATATTATAATGATTTGAATTAAAATATTATAAGTTTTCTTCGTATTTAGTGAATAGAATATTTCTGAAGTAATGGGCTTATTGTTAGTATAATTCAGGATTATCTTCCTAAATAGTGATTCTATTAACAAATTGAGAATTTTAAACAGATTACAATTTTTATTAAAAAAAATATTTTACTCTAAATCTGAGATTTTGATATATTTAGTTTTAATCAATCGTATGAAGATAATTGAAATTATTTAAATTTTAATATTGATTTCAATTCCTGTTTTTCACATACATATCATACACATCCAATCTTTCTCTTGACTCGCTATATTTTCCGCTCGCTCGTTCCTAATCGAGTTAAAATTGCAAATCGTATTCTGCGAAAATTTCGAATTGCGCGTCTCTCTCGGCGACGAATTGCAAGCATAGTATATCTGCGAAAGTTTATAAAAAAATCAACTACGTTTTCTTTAATTATCGTCGTTTGTGTCGCAAAAATTTGAAGAAATAAGGATCATACGGTCACAACAAAAGTCGACGAATTGTTGAATAAAATCGAGATCACATTTTCTATGTCAATATAGTCACAATTTATATTTTTAAATATGATGTTTTTAAATCGACCAAAAGAGCCAAAGCACGAAAAATTAATTATTCGGAACTGTATCTCTTGGTTTGAGATCACTAAGTTCCATATATAAATTAATCTCGAAACTTTGGCCGATTTAAAAACATCATATTTATATTTTTAATATTGAGAGCCGATCAAAATATTTCTTTCTGATTATATTTTTAAATACATAATTTAAAAGAATTATACAGATTTTGAAACAAAAATTATTCGAAAATCAAGACTAGTTGAAAAAATATATGTGTAAATAAAAACCGAATTTGATCATTACGGAGAAGAAAAGTGAAAATTGTCACATCTCTCATCCCGAACACAATTTAAAGCACTTGCTAATTAGCCGTGGAGCACACATTATTTATCATATCCGAGTGTTTACAAATTTCTATATTATTGAAGTTCGGAAGGAATATTTATACGCGTTGAACAAAGTTTCTGATGGAATCGCATCTCGATTAAACATTTCGGCGTCTTTGATAATAAAAACACTAAATTTGATATCGCGGATAATCTCGAGCGCGTTATCGAGTATTTCGAAATACATCAAATAAAGAGGATTCTTTTTTAGTGTTATTTGTGCCGATGTCTTTTTAATCTAACTGATCTTTATAGATAATAATAGTACAATAGATATATAATAACACAAAGACAAATTAGAGCCAAGCTCGCGCAAGAGATAATAGTACGTATTGACTTGATAATTATTATAAAAATATTGCATAGAGCCCAATATTTCAGTCTTTTTCGGACTCTTCTCGATTATACACATGATATAGTATAAAACTTGAATATATCAATAGAGAGAAGGAACTGCTGATTGTGAAAACTTGAAAATTTTATAATTGTGATCAAAACTATGTTAAAATCATATAATTCGCTCTCGATATTTCCCAAAATACGAAACAAAATTCACTAAAGAAAGAAAAAAAAATAAGTATCATATAAAGTTATCAAAGATCAGAGATAATTCTTTTAAGCAATATAATTTTTTTGTAACGGACAAAAAGCAGTATAAAAAAGATTGGTCTTTCTTACTGATTATAAACTATTACTATATGTACATATATTTTGACATCTGCGAATTGACTCTAATTAGCTCTTCTGTTATTATTTATATTTTATGACAGAGAATCTTGTACAAACTTTCTTTATTTTAGATTAAAATTAGCGACGACGGTCGATAGAGACTGTATTATTAAATATTCTGCAATCACGACAAATTCTGATAAGCAAATTATGTACACGATGAATACTATGATAATTTATTTACAATTGATGTGAGATGAGAGAAACGCGTCGTTATACACTATACTTCGAAACTGATAAGACGATTCGTTACTATAGTAATTACAGAGGAGGATCTCGGACGAAAGAAGCGAAGACTCAACGTTCTTACGGAAAAATGTATACTGAATTTTATAAATCACATAATTTTACAGAATTATTTTTTACTGATTTTCACATATATAAATCGCACATAACTTTGTACAAGTCACAATTTTGTCGCCGCGTACAACGAAATTCGAATGTTTCATATGAAGGTAAAATTTTCGAGATATTTCAACTAATATTATTAATTACAATTACAATTAATTGTAATTAAATACATGATTGTTTTAAATGCGAAGGTACTCTGAATATTACATCAAAAGATTCTCTTTAAAGTTTACACTATCGTTTCGCACTACGCAGCGTTGACAGTTGACAGTTGTCGGTGAAAAATATACAGTGTCGGATATTATTATATTTGCAACTGCATCGACAGATATTCGAATTAACATTAGTATAATGAAAACGTGCAGTGACAATTGCGTCTTCATCAATGATACTATTATCGTGTACGTTACGTTATCGTGTACGTTATCGCCAAAGATTTACAGCGAAATACATGGTGTATGTATATGGAGGAGAGGTACTTATTATACATATTAAACATAGAAATATTCAAAATGGATCAAAGAATGCGGCTCGATTGTTCGTTGAAATCTTCGGGTCAACACGTGCCTCCTGATTAAATTAGAAGCACGATCCGTGTTTAATCAATGTTTGGCGATGTTCTCGCGAATTAAACAAACGTGTTATTTCTCTCAATTGTTAAGATGTTATTTTTGCAAATTAATTACAGTCCTTTAAATCTTTAGTTTACATTTTCATCGTGCCTGCGTTTATCATTAAAATATATTTTATTTCGATCAAATTTAACTTTTTATTTTATTTTATTTTTTCTATTCAACAACCGAAACTATTTTTAATTTTGAAGAAGATTCTGTTCTAGAAAGTATTTTTCCCAATGATCTTTTCTTATAATTATGAGATAAAAGTTGTGCCTATAATCAAATGAATTCATGAAAAATTTAATTTGAATTTAAGAGATGCATTTTTGGTCGATTTGAAAAAGCGTGAAAGAACATGATGAAAAATATTTTTATAAAACAAACTTGCGAATATTAAAATATTATGAGAAATAGACATTTAATATTTGCACACGTTGTGTCGCGATTACATCAAGCAGGCTCCGATAATAATTATTTGTTTATCAGCGAGAGTACCAATATCGGAAAAGCTCTCTCAATCCGAAATTCTTAGCACACTCTCCTTTTGGACAACACATGGCGCTTTTCATTTTATTTTATTTTTTTTTTTAAGACTTAACTACAAACCTAACTTACGCGCGGCCATCTCGCAACGGCGGTCTTTCATCGTTTCCGATCTGTTGTCGCGAGCGGATCTGCATAAAAAATAAAAAACAAAAAAAGAATATTTTTTTGCCGTCGACGAGAACCAAACGCAAAATTGCGTGTCTTCCTAAATCATATTATTAACGACACTTTCTTCCATTTCTTTCATTTGTTCTAAAGGTATTTCTCGTGTCGTCAGAGCTACTTTACTAGAGCTATCTAAAAATCCCTTAATCTAAAATCACACAGAAAGTAATTATTTATTATACCGTGCGCCTTCCTGATTTTCTGTACATCTATCAATCATCCCCAAGTTGAGGACGCGAGACATGATAAAATAAAATGAACAAAATATTGGTAATAAACAATTTTGCTGAATTTGATATTCTGAAGTTCTGAATTTCTTGCAGTCACGTGAAAAGTATTTCTGTATTTATTAATACTGGTAAAATTATATTGAAAAATAATTGTGCATATTAAAAATGTAATTGCAATATTGTTTATTGATGTCGTAATATTGATTTCTTATTTGATTAAATTTCTCTCATTGTTCATTTTCTCATATTCATTGATTTTAATGCTAAATTTTTTTGTATCGTTTATTGATAATATTCAGTAGTTTTTGTGTGTGTTTAATACTTTTTGTGCGTGATTGTACTTTTGGATGCCTCACTTATGCTCCTATGTTTTCTTTTAATATTTTATTATGTCCCCGCGTCCTGGCTCTTATATCTCTCTAGAATCTAGAAGATATCCTTTAATCAGGAGTCAGGAGATGAAATGAAAGCATTCGAACGATTCTCGATTTACGTCCCCAATGCGAATCTTGAATCAGATATTGGAATAAATATTCAACAAAGTAGTTTTACAGATAAATTTAAACAAACTGAAATATTTTAGGAAGTACAAAAAATGAGTATAATTTCACATGATTAATTTTTTGAACAGATTTTTTTATCGTGCTATTTATCATATTATGATGTCGTAACGAGACTTTTAATCGCAACGAGATAGTCGAGTTTCGAGATTCGCTCGAATCAGCCGGATTCGCGTGTTTAGTTAGAATCTCACGGCGATGGCGCTTACAACTGAATCAGAAATTAATACCGAAGGTACTTATCTATATAAAATGAATTCGATCCACCGCTCTCTTCCGTTTCTCGATCCTACGGGTTTCTAGATCCTTCCTACATCGAGAACTGAAACTGGACGTAAGATCAACAGGTTCAGATTCCCACATTACATTCGTATTTGCTTTTTTTTTTTTTTTTTTTTTTTTTGTTAAATTTCTTTTCTTAAATCTTTACAAAATTACCGCGAGTTTAAGAAATCAGACCTAAAAAAAATTGCGCCAGTTTCAATTCCCGTTCTCATCATTCGTCTTCATTCTCTTTTTTCTTTCACTATCTGTCTCTCTCACTTTCTTTTCTTTATCTTTATTCTCATTTCTCTTTCTTTCCGTATTGATACCGTCGCGTTCGCACGATACGTCGGCAGTGTGTTTATTGGAATAAATCGCGCTAGAATCGCGCGAGGAAAAACCCGCGTTCGCGAGGTAAACGAGGGAAAATGATCGTGTCGCCGAGACGGACGAGAAACATTTTCTCGACGCGGAGATTCTCGAGATTCTTCGAGATCGGCCGGCGACAAAGTCGTTGGATATCAACGTGCATGTGTTCGCGCATACCTTCGCCTCCCTCCTTCTCCTATGCGAAACCGCAAGAGTCCTGTCTTCTCGCAAGACGTTCTTCTTTTCCTATTTTCTAACCTGAGATCTAAAGAGTCCCGCTATTTGAAATCTCGATCTTGAGAGACGAGAAGCAAGCGAACAGGACCGACACTTGCGAAAAAACAGGACGCGAGTTTTCTCATCGAGACAGCGAATCGCCGATAAACGCGAAAAAAGAATGCTCTCCGTTTCTCGAAATAAATTTTGAAAATCGAACGATCCTTCGAGGATCATTCGCGTCTTTTCCAAATTTCCCTTAATTACGCGAATATCTTCTTGCATGAATTTATAAGACTAATACGTGAAATCTTTCGCGTTTGCGATTCGCTGCCGCGATTCTTCCCACATTTTTGCATCCATTCGAACTTGTACCTAATTTTACTCCTTCCTCGTCTTATTCTCCACTTGAAGGAGAGAACGCTTATCAATCAGGGACTTACTAAGTCTTCATTCCCAGCGAATGCCGGTCGAAATTAATTTGTTATCTTATTAATGCCGACGCATTGGGGAGGAAAAGTGCCGATTATATATTACACATTAATCGCCGCGATTCGTCTTCAACAATCCTTTTAGCAGTTCCGGATTGTTGTTACTTCATCGGAGAAGGATCCGATCACGACGACTTCTTCTCTCTTCTCTCGCTTCCTCTTCGGATCTGTCGCGGATTTCAACAGTTTCGCGATCGAGTGTCGACGCTCGCGATGATCGATTAGCTCTCGAGGCTCGATTTACACTTGGGTAAACGGTACCTACATCTTCTGACGCGAAGGAAGAAAAGCTGTCGAGTTTTCGCCAGTCGTCCCATCTCGACGAATGTCTTCGAGGCGGGCTTCGCCTGACCTTCGGACATACCTACTCGCAATATCCTGAAGGATCTCGCCAAGGATTAAACGTTCTCGCGGGGAACATCCTTGAGAGATATCTCGCTCCGAATAATATTCCGCCATCGAATAACTGTACATCATTATTATTAAGGTGACGTTCTCTCGAGAGATATTCTAACACTCTCGCGCAATCTCCAACCAAGGGCTATTCGATTCTAATCATCGGTCTGACTATCGCAGCGACATCTAGACAATTCGATTCGCAATGTGACACTCCTCGTCGATTCTCAGGACGTGAAGGAACTTTCGCCTCTTCTTCCCGGCACTTTCCTCCCACGCGTGCGCATATATTCGATTATAAATGCCAGTTGACCTCGCGCGCGACCTGTACACGTGTGTAAAATCTAAGAAAAAAAAAAAAGGACTGGCCCGTCTTTTGGACGCTCGAGTTTTTATACTAATCGCTATTAACTATTACTCCTCCTCCTTTTCGCTCTCCTGCTTTCACGGAAATCCTCCCTCCATCCCCTTGTTCTTTCTCGGAATTAAAATTGGCTACTTTGTGTTTTAAATTGGCTAATGTGTTTACGTGTATGTATGTATATGTGTCTGTGTATGTGTGTACACGTGTATCTCTCTTCGATATCATGTGTATACAACGTATATGTATAATATATTGCTATATATACACGCAGGATGCGATCAAATGCGCAGAGAAATGCGACGAGATAATGTTTCCTTGTGAAATTTCAAATGAATTTTTCTTAAAATAATGTTTCATGTGTATGGCGATATTACTCTTTCTTTTTTTCTCTCACGCACATACATTCTCTCTTTCTCTTTTTTAATTATTTCTCAGTCCTTGATTATTAACATTTTCAGAATTTTCTTTGAATCTCATGAGAATCTTGAACTTCTACGAAGATCGATAATAATCATGATCGTAAAATGATACCTTAAATGAAAATTTAGCAAATTTCTGTCAAGGTATTGAATTTAAAATTTATTTAAATAAAATTTAAATTCAAACACCGTTGAAGAGAATCTTGGCATTACTTGTAATTTTATTTCGTTATCGAATAATATTTCAGTTAATTATGTTCCAGAATATATAAAGTCGAAAAAGAAATTCACGTTGTTAAATGCATTTACGTCATTCAAAGTACGTCTGACAAAAAAAATAAATAAAGTCTTTTTCCCTCGAAATGCATGCACCTAAGACAAAAATCGAGAGAATTTGCAAAACTGTCTTTTAAAAAATGCAATCTTAAAAGAGAAATGCAGAGCTCTTTCCTCGTAGAATTCTTACGAAAAAAATTGAAAATTTTTTATTCATTTAACCAATACTTCTTAACTCACTTTTCTAAAATCACTGAAATTTTTCAAACGAAATTTCATTCCTATAGCATGAAATAAAATAATTTCCAATTCTCTTGGAAAAAAAAAGCGCATTCCTGAGATAAATGATAAAAGGCTCTCGAGCCGAAATTTTCCCGGGCATTTTTCTACGCATCGCTGTTGCGACACCTCGCGCATGTATATGTATCGGCTAGTCGAAAATTGAGGCTACAGTGTGCGGCAGTCTATTGTCTCTCTTGGCTCTTCTCTCCGCAGCTTCCGTCTTCCTCTCGTTATCGGCGACTTACTATATCTTCCGGTCGAAAGATCGTCCTTTCTTCTCTCGAGGCGCGACGCGAAGTCGTCACCCTCGGGTCCAATGGTCTCTATCTCGGGAACGGAGGAAGACTTTTTACTCCCACTGGTGTGGAGAGGGTGGCAATTCCGAGGGGAGAGCCACCGTGGAGCTGCAAGTCGTACGAACAAGTCATTAGAAGGGGTGACGAAAGGCAGGAAGGAAAAAGGCCGAGAAGGAAGTGTGAGAGAACGTGCGATCCTCTTTTGGCAACGCGAATCGACCACCCTTGCATAATTTGTCGAGAGCCAAAACTCTCTCGACGAAAGAGCTTTTTTTGCGATTACCGTAAATTTAATCGTGTTTCACGTTCAACTTTTCACGATTATTAAATGAGAATTATTCGATTATACTGGAAGAGTTAGAGCGATCGATTGCGGGCGAGTGTGTGTGTGTGATGGAGGATGAATACAACTACGTGCGAATTGTCGAGCTAATTCTTTTGGAGGTTGAAATTTAGTAAATTCGAACGTGAAAAGAGATTTCATTTTTCCATTTAGAGACAATATCGAAAGTTTTATTTATATATATACAGGGTGTCCGGTAAATAACGGACCAATGATTAAGGGCGGATTCTCCGGCCAATTTGGAGACGATTTTTCCTTAGCAAAAATGTTGAGAAGTCAAAATAATATAAAATAAATAATAATAATAATAATAATAATATAATATATAATAATATATACTATAATATAATATATAATAATATAAATAATTTTCGAGTTATAAGCGATTGAAAAAAATGGGTCTTTTGAAAACTAAACGTTTTGGAGTTAAATGTCTAACATAATTACATTCTTCAGTTAATTTCAGGTAGAGTTTACTATAATAAAATTTTAATTTGAGGCTTAGTTATAAAGATACATAATGACAAATATTGGAAAGTTGTAAAAAATGATGACCTTTTTCGACATTTTCGCTGAGGAAAAATCGTTCCCAAATTGACCAAAGAATCCATTTGTAATCGTTGGTCCGTTAGTTACCGGACACCCTGTTTATTATTCGACAAATGTTTCAAGTGATAAATATACAAATATAATTGAATATATACCTGTATTTATATTCAATTCAATTAATTATACGGAAGATTAAGAAATTATATCTCGAAATTAATTGGAAATAATTTAGAGTCTGATTTCGAATTAAATGTACTCGCTCGGCCATTCGCAGTCTCTAACGTTCGAAAACAAGCAAAGCACGAAATGCCACAAAATTAATTTGTAACTATCATTTCGTGCTTTGATTTATTATCGATCAACTAAATTCTAAACTGACATCGTCAACGAGCAGTAGCGTGGTTTCTTCTTTTTCTATTCGAGATCATTACATAAGATGTCAATATATTTATCTATTCTTCTTTATAATGGCCAGAAAACATAAACAGAACCGACATATATACAAAATTATATGTATATATATATATGCAATAAAAAATTATCTTCTAAATTCGTGCAGTTTTTTCAACTATTCGTGTCGAAAAAAATATAATTGTTATATGTAGAAGTCTCTATGTCTCGTTCGTTTTCGATTGCGTATTATTTTCTATTTTGAGGTCGAAATATAATTGTCAACCGATAATTATCGATAATAATCATTATCGATTTGGAGCACGCAATACTCGCTCGTGACGAAGGATCATTGGATCTTGATTTTTAGCAAAATAACAAAAGCATTCGTCTGATTTCCATGCAGCTGTCAGCATGCGTGACAGCCGGTCGGTTTTCGCTCTCTCTCTCTCTGTCTCTTTTTTTCTGTCCTTAATCACATTTTTGCTTCCAATTTAATCTGCTTCCGTTATTTTATTTTTTCTTCATCTATCGTCTATCTTGTTCGGACTATTTGCGCAAAGTATCGAAATTAATATTGACCTAATATCGGGTGGATATCTATGGAAAATGTTTTCTATAGGTTGGTATATTATTGGGCGAATTGTAACGTGGATCTGAGGAAAGGTTTAAGGATGAGGAAAAGTCTATATGCAGATTTTCACGAAAGATAATTTGCATCTTTTTCTTTTGTCATTTTTTGGCGCGTCGCGACGTGTGCTCGTTCTTCTCATCGACGTTTTTCTTTCAACTGAAGGCTGCATGGTGGATCAGGCCTTCTTTTACACTCATAATGCCAACAATAAAACAATGCGCTCCGTTCAAGCGGCTTTTTTTTTTTTTTTTTACGTACGAATAACACGTTCGCAAAATGACAGGCCGACTTGTGACGGTGAGTTGTTGCGCACGAAACCGGGATGACAACTTACAAATTGCTGTATATCGAATTTCGTGAATTATAATAAATTTTTCTCATTTTTTATATAATTAAGATTTAATGGATAAATATCAATCTGGACGGAGGAGAGATAAACTCATTCTTTAAAAATCTGGCACAATTAAAAATCTAAATGTTCTTGTTTCTTAATTAGTCTCAATTTAAGTTTCACAACTTTCAGATAGTTATCTCTATTATTTACTATCATATTATTATTAATATTAATAATGGCAATAATGTATTTTAATGAAGAATATATAGGTATATCTTTTCAGCTCTCATTTGAATCTACTTTATAGATTTTGAAGGCGAAGTTTAAGAAGTAATTAATAAATAATACCTACATTAATTGTTAAAAAAATTATTTTTAATTACCATAATTATTATCGAGATTAAAATTAATCTCTTGGAAAATAAACTAAACTTTTTTTATAAAACCTTAATACGCAGAATTATATTTGCTATCACAATGTTATATAATGTGTGCACATGCATGTATGTACATATATGTACAGTAATAAACTTTCACAATTTTCTACGGCTATGGGGTAAAAGGATTTCAAAAACGGAATGAGTTGCTATCACCGGATGTTTCTCGCAGATTGTTTCCTTTTTAATTAGACTCTTTTGGACTCGCTTTAAAGTGGCCGTAAAAGTGGGCCAGCAGCAATGCGATTTCTCGCTTCAGCAACACTCTAGCATAGTTAAAAGAAAGGGGGGACAAAACGGAAATATTCATTGGACGAAGAAACAGTATCTTGCCGAATAACGCCAGATATATTATCGTTACTCGGGTGCTTAAGGAGCCCGTTAATTACGTGTAAGCGAAACTGCTGCTAATTAGCACCGCTACACACGCCTCATATGTCATCGTTTAAACCGCGTCGACTAAACCTGCAAAACCCAACGTTAAATTGTCCTAATTTTCGCGCTTTTTTCCCCGAAATTTATTCCTTGAATATTAAGATATAAGATCATTTTATACTACGCATTGCATAAAAGGAAGCGTTATATTACCTGCGTTTGAAATAATGCGGCTATCGATCAAATATAATATTACACTCGTAGAAATTTTGGAGTAAATCTTCAAAGTTTATTTATTTTTTTTTTCTTGTGAAGATATTTAAATGTTAATTTATCTTGTTATCTTAGGCTTACCTATTTAAGCCTAAAATAAAACATTTCAACAATTTCATTATCATCGTCGAGAGCGATTCTTAATTTAATTCGATTGAAAATACATCGCATATTTTATAAAAGCAACTTTCCACGGTTTTTAATCTTAGTTTAAAAATAATTTCAAATAATTATATTAGATTTCCGAATCAGCTATATTCGTGGGATATTAAATTCATCTAAAAAAATGGAATCGTTAAAAGAATAAATTTTTTGACAAGTAAGTGTCACCCCGTTCGAACGCGATCCAACTCGCCTCGGTGCGAAACACGCGACATATAGCGATGCGATTCGGAAGATATTTCGGAATCACCAAAAATCCATTCCAATTTCCGAATATTTATATATGCAAGTAAATATTCACGATTTAACATCACGCTTTATATCATGATAAATAAATATTGAAAAAAATTGATACGTGTTTTCGAAAATCGAAAGGATCGATTCCGACGATATATCGGTCGCACAGCGACGTTCGACATAACGCAAGATAGGCACGGTGTATTTGTACATCATGAGGTAAACAAAGGACGAGTTGAGAAGCCAAGGTCTTGTAACACAAACAAAAGGCAATATACTTGGTATATTATAAAAAATAGACTGGATCATGTACCTCTGCGAGCGAGGTCGCGTCGACTTATAGCTGACTCTCGTTTCGTTCGGTTCGTTCAGGAGGAGGCGTAACACGATTGGTAGTAGTAGTGGTAGTGGTGGTAGTAGTAGTAGTAGACGATAGCGGTAGTAGTCGATAGTAGCTGACAGTGGTAGATAGCTGAGTCGGTAGTGGTAGTAGTAGTAGTAACGTATACGTATACGCGACGCAGGGCGCTGGTTCGGCGATCGGCTTGCTCTAACTTGAGACGGCAGAGTAAGCAAGACGAACAATTGTTACACATCCAACAGCAGTGTTGCGAACAACACTACTCAACAATAGACACCTTGTAGAAGTTATGACACTGAGTGTGCATCAGATTTGTTTTCGATGTCTCTATCAATGTTTCTATTCACCAAATTTCCATACAGGCAACAATGTGAATTCAAATGTGAAATCTCAAAAATCTGATTAATAGTTACGTCTAAATTTCGAATTTCATTGAACCATTTTTTAGAGTTCGTTAACTTTCGATGGTATAGCGAACATTTTTTCGTATGTACAATTATTTATTGTTTATATTTTGATGCAATTTTTGAAATATGTAGCACATTTTATATTTCATATTTGAGCTTTGTTGTTAAACATTTATGAACGCTATAAATCATAAAACAGTATGTGGCGAAAAATCTAGACGTACTGATATTCTATTATAATTTTAAAATACCAGAAAATTGTAATATAATAGTTTAGGATTTTTTACTATACTTCTACAAAAGGAAAATTTAATTTTGTTGAGTAGTGTAATCTGGGAGAAAATATTAGATTTGTCATTATACATATATCAAAAACCTTGTTGTTTCATCTCAATATCGCAGAGAGAGAGAAAATTAGAACAATATTCTAAAGTATCAAACAAACTTTAATAATAACAGAATGGTTTTAATTTGAAATTCAATACTAAGCCAAATATTCATAATAGTACAGTAATAATTGATATTTTTAATTTTCCTAAATTAATAATGTTCATCCAAAACAAAATTTATTTTAATATGTACATCATTCTTCTAATTTTTCTTTTCTTCTACTTACATAATAATATAATTTTCATTGCAAATTATCTATAAATTGCATTATCACATGAATCTATTAAATCATAAAGTATTATCCGTCTGTATATACGAATACATATATTTTATGAGAAAATAAATTGATTGCGCTAATTGATGATAATTTCACTAATATTATATTTTCATTACTCTTAATAATACGCAATTTTCCAAACCATCAGAAATGCGATTTATAATTGTAATTGTAAACATGCGAAATATAATTGATATATGAAATAATTTTCTTATTCACAAAGATCGATCAATATATAAATGTGCTTTCTGACAATTGCTAATTATAATTAATGTATATAAAAAAAAATTTCAAATTATATAATTATAAAAAAACAAAGATTATTCGATTAATTTCAAAATTGTGAAAAGGAATAAACATTTTGTCAAACGACACACAGGTGTGAAAGAATACGAAAAATATGAGACAATATATACGTTTGATTATTTTAAAGATGTACTACTTTAAAATATCATTCTAATCCTCCTAATTCGGCGATATTGATAGTTATCAATTCCTTATCTACTTGATCTCTACTCTTCTATTATAAATATATATATATCGAGAGATCGATAATGATTGTGTCACAGTGGGCCGACAGGGTTACGTGAAACACACACATCTTACGCTTTACTCTTCCTTGGAATAATGTCAAAAGATACAAAGCGTATCTTTAAGGACGTTAGCAAGAGGATCGCCAGGACGAAAGGCCCCTCTTTTTTTCTTTATCTATTGACCCGAGTTTCGAGTATCGATTTTGAAATCTATTTTCTCTTTTCGTTACGCGTCGAAAGACTCAGCTGGCTCTAGTCAGCGCTACTCTTCGAACACCCGATATATCCGCTCTACTCGACTGCTTCGACTTGATAAGAAACACTGTGCGCCCCTCTATGAACCTTCTTAGGGATTATTAACCTGTCTTTTGATCGGGAATCTAGGATCACGGCGCGGGAGATGTATGAATGTGAAGGAAGGAAGGTATTGATTGATTTCGAGGAGAAGAGAAAAGAGGAACATTTTTTTTCTCTCTTTTTTTAATTCTATTAGGATTCGTTTTTCGTCGATTGGTTTGGTGACTTTTTTTATATGCGACTCGGGGGATTTTTATGAGTCAGGTCATGTATTATATACCGAGTATTCCAAAACTATATACGCGTTACAACTGTAAAGTCAATCAATGTATTGATAAAGTGCAATTTATATATTTCTCATCTTAAATATCCTTACAGTATTAATGTGAAAAACACGTGTCTAGTCTATTAAATTCTACTTAAAGTTATACGTCAAGTAAGATTTTGCCATCAAGATGCATTTATCATAAGCTCGATTCTTAAAAATATCTTGATTCTCGTCTCCATTAATTCGAATTTTTAAATATTTTAACGAACAATTTTTTTAGTCTTGCTTCTAATTATTTTCAATAGTTCTGGAGCACTGTGTATATCGACCGGTCAAGAGCGATTTGCGTGAATTCGCATCGTAATGTGACTTACCTTGCGAAGCTCTTGAATGCCGCGGATTGCGGATTTATGCAGAGCGGCACTCGTGCTGTATTCAGCTGCTCCGCTATAAATTTGTGCATCTCCTCTGAAACAGACAACGACGTACCAGTATATGAGAGAATGACGGAGACGGAATGCCGATGACGGCGCGATACAATTTCCCGAGCTAGTGACACCATGGTTCATAAACAACGTCATGATTCGCGTCCTGTCAGTGCTAAATACAGTTAAATGAATCTCTCCAGTCGACGTAATCTTTAGAAAATTTTATTATTGCGATCCGTTTATCAGTTATTAAAATCGGGAAAAATTAAAGGATTTAAAAATATTTTTGAAAAAGCTTGCGAGAATATTTTTTCCAATTTTATTTACACTTTTGCAGATTCAAATCTTGCGTGAAGCTTTCACGCGTTTTACTGTCGTAAAAATAATGAAACTGATAAATTCAATTTTAATCGTATACAATAGCGGAATCTTGATTTGAAATTTTAATGTAACTCGCATCAAACAAAAATAAATTAGGAGATAATCTGACATAAGCAGTATTTTTTACGTTACTTGTCGATTCACCGTTCTTCGTTCCATCGTTAACGATTACGTGAGGAAGCACGAGAACCTCACGATTCACAGCGACTAGGTGCTGCTGAGATAAACTATGATTTATCGTGACACGCACATACTCGAGCGTGTTTATCGCGGTTATTGTTCTCGAATAGCGCAGCCACGTGCCTAAGATACTTACTGTGTACGTCATTATACTCGATACGCGAGATATTCTCGCGTCCATATATCGAGATTCATGCCGCAATTTGTACACCGCAAAATCCAGCTTTCAACTTCAGTTGTGCTTTGCACAAAATTTAATGTATAAAAGTGAAAAAAAAAGTTAAATTCGTAAATAGAACAAAAAGTAATTATCCGATTTTTACATAATACTCTAAATATCATATCAATTATTCTCAATATTAGAAATCAAAATTAAAGTTATTTATTTATTATAAAAATATAAAAAGAATCGTTCTGTATCGTAATTAAAATTTTGTTAACTTCTAAACTTTTTCATTGACAAAAATATCTCAAGGATTTCATGATTTAACATCGAACTGATGAGATATATGCAAATGATATATTTGGAAAAAATAATACTAAAAAGTGAGGGAATTTTTTTCCTCGAGTCTGCTGGCTTTTTTCTCTCTTACTTCGACACTGCGAAATTTCTCACCTTTCACTTGCTGCACGCTCGTGAGCTTTCGCTCCCAGAGATCGTCGAACGGATGGGCGGCCGAAGGCTCGAAATCCACCCTGTACTGTCTCATGCCTGCGCTCGTCGTATAGCAGCACGTACACATGCATGAATGATACCGCAACCGTCCCTCGTCCAGATAAGGATGCGCCAGGGCGTCCACTACGGTGATCCTCTTATCCTGCGCAATAATAGGATCATAGGATAGGGAGCAGAATCGATAAATCTTCGTAAAATGAAAAACCAAGTGGCAACGTTTCGTGCCGCTCGCAAACCGCAGAGTGAAACGAATTTCAGCTCAATCCGAAATGACATGTGGAGCAGGAACGTGCATTTCGACAATATATTTTCATCATTATCAATCTAAATAAATATATAACAAAATTAATGACTGACGTTAACAATCATAAAGCGTGAAAACCGACACTGTACTAATTATTTGTTAATTAGAAGTGATAGATGAAATTTCGCGTAGAGAAGGATAATAGTCTTGTGAAGAAACAATTTGATGGGATCTACAAATGTGAAATTTTCATCGAAGAATGAAATTAAATATAATGTCTACGCGAGAAAGTTTCAAAAAGATCATTGTCTTCGTAATGATTCTTTTGCTCTACGCTCAGTAATAATTCTTTTAAAAAACTCAGATTGAGATATTATTACATCCTAATTAGAGATGTGCTTTTTTTTAAATTTCTTCAAATAAAATCTCCCATGACCAAGAACGAAAATATATTGATAAAAATATATTAAAATAATAAAACATGACAAAATATATATTAAATCTTCAAGACCTCTCTTATTAAGGAAAATAAAAAAGAATCACATGCATCAATTAAAATTGAAATTATGTATTATTAAATGATGTATGAAATGAAATTGATATAAAGAAATAACGCGCTATTTCGGAAGGGAAACTTACGGGATCGAAGACTAGCATCTGGCAAAGCAAATGGACGGCCTCGTGCGTTGCCTGGCTACTGAGATTATACAGGGTCGCGAGCGATGGCGGCTTCTGTGCCCTTCTCAACATATGAGACTTTGCACCCTCGCACGCGTACCTCATCTCTTCAAGAGTAGGCGAACCCAGTAGTTCCGTGATTAACTCGAGCTGCAATCGGATAGAGAATTCGCATTTTTATGTCAACTTTCGATCGTATAATATTTCCGCTTTCTTCGAGTGTCTTATATATTCAAATATAAATTATGGAAATAATCGATCAAACTAGCAGATAAAATCGTTTATTCAATTTCACGACGTTTCGACCATATGGTTGTGGCCCTTTTCAAGTGAGAAAGTAAAATAATAACTAATTTATATTCAAATATATTCTGCTCGTGTCAGATTATCTCCTAATTCATTTTTGTTTGAGATGTGAGTTATATTAAAATTTTTAATCAAGGTTCCGCTATTGTATATGATTAAAATTGAATTTATTAGTTTTATTATTTTTACGACAGTAAAAGGTATGAAAGCTTCACGCAAGATTAAAATCTACAAAAATGTAAATAAAATTGAAAAAAATATTGTCACAAGAAGCTTAATTTTTCCTAATTTTAATAATCGATAAATGGATTGCAATAATGAGATTCTATCACCGATTGAGACATATTTTTAGATGATCAGATTAGTCATAGTTAGAATTAGGAAGAATTTAATTAATGTAAGCGAGACGCAAGTGTTTTCTATTAAAAAAAAATAATAATAAAAACGCCAGTCTAACAGTCAGGGAAATCTGGAAAATTGGGCATTTTATAAATCTGGAATTGTCAGGGAAAAATCAAGAAATTTTACTTTTATCTTGATTTTTCACATTATTTGTCTTAATAATTTGAAATGTCTCATTAAATTTTTTATTAAATAAATATAAACTTTTCCTTGACTCCTAGCACGCTAATTTTCTGTGCTGTCAAAAATCAATTCGTCTACAGCGTGTGCGTTAATTTATATTTTCATATTTGGAAAAAATAATACTAAAAAGCGAGGGAAGACATGAATTTCTGGTCTTGGGGAAAGTTTGAAAAAGTGAGGATAAATTTTGTCATCGAGTCTGAACGCGAATTGGGCCCATCGGCCTCACCTGTTGCACGGGGCTCTGGGCCTGGAAGAGGATTCGCCGGCGTAGCAGCTCGCCAAAGATGCAGCCGACACTCCACACATCCACCGCGGCGGTATAATGCCGCGCACCCATCAGGATTTCCGGCGCGCGATAATACTGTGTCACCACTTCCTGGGTCATGTGCACGTTCTGGTCAGGCTCCGCCACCCGCGCCAATCCGAAATCACAGATCTGAAGAAAAAGAGAACACCCCCGTTGTGTGTTTTTAGCCGCGACGAATAAATATTATGACAGCTTGTAGATACAACAGATCAATTTTAGAAATAAAACTCGAATAGAAGATTCTTTCGTTATATTCTCGTACTTTCTTATCGTTAAATTTGAATCGACCGAGAAATGAGATTGATATTTAGGTTTCAATGTTTAAATCAATACTCACTTTTAGTACGCAATTGCTGTTCACTAGGAGATTCCCCGGTTTGATATCCCTGTGAAGAATTCGGGCCGAGTGAAGATACTTGAGGCCTGGAAGCAATAATATTTGTCGCACAAGTTATATATATAAACTTATCTATAATTGATCGCAGCGGAAATATTAAAAGTTTGAAATATATCAATGCTTTTTTTAATTATCGAATAAGAAATGCGCGAAAGGTACAAGGTAAAAATAGAATTTACTTGAAATCGCGTTTTCTCGAATAACAATAATAAATAATTACAAATTTCTCGTGAGAAAAACCATTGGAATTAAATTAATGATTCGTTCGCTAGACGCATTTAATGTACATCGGTGGGAATTAAACGAGAGCATGGAGCTTCATCGATCGTGAAAGTTGATGCGATCGCCGCCGTCTCGCTCATACGAGGCTGCGAAAACGATATTGATGGAAGAATTTTTCATGCCGGCGTGACAAGCTGACAAAACATCGAAATTGTGACATGACATGTCGTTCGCGTCGACGCGAACTCCATTTTCGCGCCGATGAAAATTCGGGTCACTTCGGAACGAAGATTATGTCGGGCTTAATCAAAAATAGGTTATTGTTTTGTCGTGAAAATTCTCGCCGATTAAATTCGATCTCCGCGGTTTCCGCGCAAATTCGACACTGATAACTAAATTTACTCGCTTTACTATAATAATCACGATGCATAAAAGTATATTTATAAAATCACGCGTTTCTTTGCATTTTAATCGCATTCATTGATATATCAAATATAATTTTTATATTCAGCATACTCTCACGGAATGTGTGCGACACAATTTAGAAATATTTTAATTATTGATTTGTTTTTAATTAACATTTTGCCATCACAATTATTTGAACTGTTAAATTTTATTTATTAAAATGTAAGGAGAAATTGCGAGAAAGAAAATTTATAAAATGTCAAGAAATAAATTTAAGAAAGTCAAGAAAAGTTGGCTTTATAAATTTATATTATATTATAAATTGCAATTTCACAATATCATAAATTAACCGCTATTAATTTCATGACACTTAAACGTAAACTTATAACAATATCGATTAAAATGTGGCACGCTTTCTTGCTTCTTCATTTTCATAATTTTGACACAAGTTTCTTGTGTTATATTGATATTAACATACACATACATACACACATAAATATATAATACTTATAATAGTTATAATTCTAAATATATATATCTAAATTCTGAATAATTTGAAAATTCGAAGATAAAATTATATAGGTAGAGAAGCACTTTTCACTTGTTTGAATTAATTATTTATAGTATGTAGAAATAAAACGGCCGATAGACTGCTTGGTTGAGGGAAAAGTCGGACGTTGAATTTAACGATAAACCGTAAACGTTGCCCCGTTATCGATCGACGAATACCGTAAAATGGGATGAGAGTAGTTGGGGGCGTTTCCAATTCGATCGCACATTCTCCTCTTATTTTATAAATAAACGAATGACGTGTGTGACGTTTTAATTAATCATCGCTGACAATCGATGCATAAGATGTTCGACATGGCATGGAATTAATTTCTTGAATTAGTTTAGCGTATTAGTATTACGAAATCGACGTAATTTATAGAGGTTACGCGAGAGCTCTTTCGTTTCCCTTTGTTTTCTCGCCTCATTTCGAGGCGGGTGATTTCTCTCCCGCACGTGGAGGGTGAGAAATGACAGGTTGAGCGGCAACGTAAGCAGGATCGTAACGAGATTCCTTTCGTGTTTCACGATCCATCCCTGTCGACCAATCGACCATTTTCGCCCTTCATTTGCGTGAAAATACGATGTATTTTACGAAACACGGTGTACGTTAAGATACAACACATTGATGAGCTATAGAACCTGGAAATGTACAACTTCCCTCTCATTTATTCCTTTTATTCGTTAAAATTCGAAGAAAATTTTAGAAAATAGAACAGCCCCGAGAGAATAAAACGTAACACACAGATCATTGAAAAATTAATTATTATGAAATACTATTGCACGGACAAAATAGAATTAAAATAAAAGATGATTTATCAAAATTGCACTAAAAAGAAAAATTTATTTAATTCGAATAAGCAATTATTTCAATACTGCCAAATGAATCATTTATTTGAAACTAATAATATTTATTTGATATAAGAAAATCCTTTTCAAAATAAATATTTATTTGTTTCAAATAAATGATTCGTTTGGCAGTATTGAACTAAATATGTATTAATTTAGTCTTTTTTTTTCAGTGTGACCGTAATTTATATATTTGCTCATCTTTAAATATATATATATATATATATATATATATATCTAATACTTTTATATAATTTATTACGCACAGTCGTCTCTCTGAAATACACAATCGTCTCTGAAATCGTCGTCCAATTATCACGATGCTGAATGAGTCACACCACGAACATTCGGGTCCCGGTCTTTCTCACAATAAAACTCAGTTATACCGAGGATAATCCGTCGTTTCGAGGGTAGTTTGTCGAGCCTGGGATGTTCCGTTCCGAATCCGCCCTGTCGTAATTAAAGTTTCTCGTTCGGGTTTGCTATACCGAACGCCGTTCTTATTATCGTGTCCGTTCGCACGCGATTAACTCGCATCCCGAAGGCTCTCTCGTCGAACCGGAGTCTTTGCCCGCGTTTGTTCAAATAGCGTGAAAAGTTCACTCAACTGCCGCGACTTTTAATCGAATATTATATATGTTTGCAAATAAATTCATCTTCTTTTTTTTACAAGAAAAATATTTCGCGTCTAAGTGTATAAAAAAAAAGAAAAAGTAGATAAAATGTACGCGAATATTTGCAAATACATGAGTTTTAAAAATAATAAGTAACGTATCATATCCTCCTCGAGGACGAAGAATAAATAATTTTTGAACTAATAATTTGAAGAAAAACTATTGATAATTACCAAGTTTTGCAAATTAAACGTAGAAGATAAATCTTGGTTTTAATCAAAAATTGTAACTTGTACTAAAGATTTCTTTGAAAACGTGTAAACATAAAATGTTTTAAAATATTTTAAATAGTTTTGCATTTTTATCATATCTGTCATATGTTATGCACTCAACTAAGTTATTATATAATCGATTAAATTCGACGAGATTTGACAACATCAAATAAAACGCGAATTCGTTTTATATCTGGGGTGATTAATTAGCCGCGCACGCGGTCGCTAATTAAAGTCCATCAATGGGCCACTTATGAATATTCCGTTTATTTAATGTCCTTTGTCATCGAAATTAGGCGAGTCGCGTTCTTATCTCGCTATCTATGCAAATTTACACGCGCGTCATTTACCCGATAACGCAAATATAAGAACTCTCTTTTTCTAAATTAGCGGTGCGTAGAAAAGAAACGACGAAAGAAAACAATTAATGTTGATCAGCTGTGGACGAGTCTTGTGACACGAGAATTTAGTTATATATTTTCATATTCGTTTCATTTAAATCGAATTAATTTCAAATCAATCAATACAGTTTTGCTGTAAAAAAAAAAAAATCCAGATCGATCGGTCGAGAATCCTTGTATTCCGAAAAAAAATCATTATTATTGCTATATATAAAATGGAAATAAGGCCACACAGATTATTTTGATCTGCCGAATAAAATTGCCGACCTTGAGGTCGATAGCCGAAGTGAAACCAGGGTTCTCCGAAGAAAGACCTTGACTTTCGTACGTCAGTAATTGAGGACCGTCGACCTCTCTCGACGGTCCGGATAGGAGAAGAAATAAGAAATCAGCCGGCCGACTAGAGGAATGCCAATAGTTTTAAGTACAATGAACCCGATAATGACAGTGTTCGGCTGACGCTGAAATTACTCTGGCTATTTTACCTCTTCCGCGTATTTTTCAATATTCAAAAAGTCGTTTCATCGACAGAACATAATTACTCCCTCGCCCAGTCCGATTATTTTATTCGAATAAGTATATCACTTAAGTCTCCCATATTAAATATATATGAAAATTATTTACGAATTTCGTCGTTTAATAATTAAAAAACATAATTGAAAAATACTCTCTCGAGTTTATATTACGAATATATAATTATAATTTGTATTCGTATTATTAATTCTATATTTAAAAATATCTGTTTCTGTATATAAAACTGAATATACAATTTTTCTATAATTCTGATTTAAGCTCTGTTATCTAAATATTCGCGAATATTCAAATATCAGACTGCGTCGCACGCGATGCTATTAAGCGGTTAATTTTGATACCCGCGTCCTCTGCGGCCACGTCATCGCAATCGCCGTAAACAAGAAAGCTTGCGCGAGCTTATTTTTGTCGAGGCCGATAACCGCGTTGCACGCGCGCAACCACCTGAGATTGTTTTAGCAGCCAAGTTTCTGTTTAGAATTTGATTCATTTAAATAATCGTAAAATCAGGAAATTGATGAAGGAGTGAATTTGTAAATCCCGCACGATGATTATTAAACGAGAAATCTATACAGGAGCTTGCGATAATCGGCCGCGCGTTGAAAGCTCCCTAGATCAAGTTAACGGGCAGTTAATCGGTCATTCATGTTAATCACTCCGCATTAATCACTCGATGTTAATCCTCGCGTCGACTAATTTATCTCGCTGATACGCGAGACAGAAAAGAATTTGCATAAGTGCCGTCGCGCAGCTTCCTGTAACACGGATCGGAGTCCGTAAAGTGTACCTTAAATGTCACATTAAATGGCTGTCGAGCCATAACAACGTAATACAATGCCGCCGGTAATACCGCCGTTAATGTTACAGGTACGAGAGCGACGTTACTGTGATTGCGAGCTTTCACGCTTCCGTCGAAATTTTGCTCGCCTCTTTGTGGAAAATATCCTCTCCTGCGCCTCGTGAAACCTTTCTATTTCCATATATTTCCGAAACTTTATATCGTGTATATATATATAGTTATTGTCTGTTGAATTAGGAAGGGAAAATTAATTTATGCGTTTTTTAATACTGGATTATAAAATTACGAATTTTTAGATAAATCAAAATTTTCAGGAAAAAAAATCTAATAATAATATTATTGCATCTCGAATTTTTGCGAAAACAACGAGATAATTCTTCAAGT